GTCAATTTCGCTCGTATCCATCGCGAAACTGCCTCAAATATGCTTTGTAAAATTAACAGCGAGCGCTCTAGTTTAGCGCGATCACACTAGTTTGGTAGTTAGCGAGGTCCCACACAACGAAACGAATGATTTATCAGTGAAGTTTAAAGGACAATGNTTTCATTCTGCGACTGTACCTATATTTAAGGGGTTGTAAGGCTTTGAATAGCTACTCAACTGTATCTTAGGGACGACTTAGGCTGGGTTGCACCACCTAACTTTAACGGTAACTATAACGATAACCGGTGCTTTTTATATGGAGTTTCACAGATTTTTGACGTTTGTCAAAGTTAAAGTAAGATGGTGCAACCCACCCTTACACAGTAACTTTCCTACGCAATATCATTTTCGGGAAGTGACTAAATTAGTATCAAAGACACGTGGATTACGAGAGGCACGTGTAAAGAAGGAATCGCCAACCCGACCCTGCCAAACAATCACTAAATTCACTAACAACAACATATTTTGCTCTTCGAAAATACAGTGAAATTAGTTTTTCGGTCATTCTCCGGATCTGGATTATTTTGTTGATTACCCCGACCTTTTTTATTTTTGAATTTAGAGTAAGTTTAGGTAAAACATTTCAAAATAGACATTATTACGAACATATTTTTTATATTGGCCCATCTGTAGCAAGCAGGAATAAAAAGTTATGCGACATCAAAATTTTCATGGTCGGGGTAATCAAAGTTGGGAGTCAGAGTAATCAAAAATAAAACAAAATATTATATTTTCTAAGGTTTTTTTTAAGTTATGGTAAAATAAATGTCATTATAACTAGCCATTTGTTATTTTGATGTATAAACGACAATATTGTAAAGTTTCAACAAAATCTGTTAAGTAGTTGTTGCGTAAAAGAGTAAAAACATACATACAGTGTGAGTCACGTTAAAGTGTACATATGAAAATAGATGAAACTAGATCTATTTTTATCGACAAAAAACAGGTCAAACATTTTTTGAGATTTTTTTTTAATTTTTTATAGAATTTTTTTTCTTCCAATTACTTATTGTAAAGAAAACGTAATAACTTTTAAACTAAGCGGTATCTCCTGATAAAATAAAAACAGTAATAATGCTAAATAACAGGCGATACTAAAAAAATACATAAAATACACAAAAAAGGCCAACAAATAATAAAAAATGATACTTTTTGAAAAAAATCTGCTTTAAAATTCGTGTTTTTTTGGTTATTTAATAAATTTCTCCAAAAAATGCCCCTATAACCGGTGGTTTTTATTACTTTGTACTATTCTCTATCGTATTACCTTCGTAAAACCAAAAATCGCATGTCTCTATCCCTATCACAACGTTTGCAATGATCGTTTGAACTAAGCCTCTCCGGGCGCGCCATTCAAAGTTTCGTTATCAACGAAACTGAAAATGGCTCTAGATTTGTAATTTTGATAAAGACAAGTTAGATTTCAAATAAAAACAAAAGATTTCAAAGTAAAATAAGCACTTCAACTGGCATTGGATTCAACATCGGATTCTGACACTTTTACAGTTATGATACCATGAATATCAGTTTATGGTCCTAATTATTTTTATTTTATTTACGACCTTCGACCAGTTGGACACTTTAGATATCTTCTTGTAATAGTGTCAAACTGTCAATATCTTTTTAGCTTTTAACGCAAATCTAGTCTTCAAAGCAGTTTAATCGATTTATTTTATTTTCAAAATCGATATTTTATTGTCTATGATGGCCGCAGGAACATCACTATACATGGACTCCCAGCAATAAAGTACGGTAATGCCTCGTACAGATTTTATCGGCAAAAATTATGGAACTTGATAGGTTTTAGACCATGCCACGCACCAAAACGTCCGGAAGTTGTAATAGTATTATAGAATAAACGTTAAAAGACTTATTTATTTAATTTTTCAATGCTTAAGTGTCCATTAGAATGAAAGGGTGCTTAATGTATTAAAAAAAATAGAAAATAATTATGATGGGTTAATGTTTTTGGGCGGTTTTTTAGGCGGTTTCTGACAATGTCCTTTGGGCCCGGCGGTTGCCGTTATCCGGGAACGCCAACTTTAATCTGATCTGGCAAATTCCACTTACTTTAATTGAATCCCGGAAGGCGGTTGTCAGTGCTATTGCGTTGTCACACGTTGATTGGGATTTTGAATATGAACCTGACGATGTGCTAATTGGACGCGAATAAAATTTTATTTTATTTGTATTACATGCTGTCAGATTGTTGGACGGTGATACGGAATGGATATCGCAATCTAATATACAAAATATTTAGTCAAAGTCAAAGCTTTTATTGGGTACTTAGGCCCTTTCCAAGTATAGTCCAAATAAAGTTTGTCCTACCACCACTTTGGGACAACATGGGCTGGTGCTGAGAAGATGTGGCGAAACATATGTAGGTCAGACACCTTTGTTATTATTTATTATACGGTTACGCTCTAAGTAATGGGTTTAGTTAAACTATAAACTAATTACTTACCTTCTAATATGCGGTGGCTCGATCATCACACCGAACAGGCGAAACTGCGAAGGTAGACTTGCACGAAATATCTTCTAATCCAATAAAATACTGATAAACACTCTTAGCACTACACAAAACTGACAAGTTACGAAGTATAAAACAAAATAGCACAATTTAGACACTTCCTAATTTTCTACAGTTAATGATTGTAATTTTCACACACAAACTGGCAGAGCACTGAATCGTGACTGACGACCGATACTAATGTCAAAGAAGATGTAAGGTGAAGATACCAACAGAAAAAAATACCCGCAAATAATATTTACGAAAGTTTTTACTATATTTTATACCTACGTAGGACACGTAGTTATAGATAGAAATTTTATGATGAAAAAATATAAATTTATTTTATTTTTTAACGAAAAAATTACCCAGGCATAATCTGTTTTTACATCTATGTAAATTACGATTACATTTTATGGGCAAAAAAGGTCAGATACAAATTAATCTAAAGCAAGTCTCCATAAAAAGGACTATTAAAAAGGGTTCGAAATAAAAAATAAGCCCCGTAACCGTCTGCTTGGTTGACGACCACGGGTATAAAATATCCATTGGCCCTTAAAATAGGGGATTTTTACCAAAATAAATTAAAAACGGCCATTTTCATTGATTGTCTTGAGCTATAAAAAATAGCTGATGACCTTAATAACTTTAACCGTAAGTGTAACGTTAATCGGTGTATTTTGTATGGAGTTTGACAGATTTTTGACTTTTGTTAAAGTCAAAGTAACATGGTGCAACCCAGCCTTAGTTTCAAAGAAAAGTACAACTTTCGGACAAATAAATACACATTACGAGAGAGCAGAACAGTTAGGCTCAGTTGCACCACTTAACTTTGAGCATAACTATAACGATAACCGGTGTTTTTTTGTATGTAGTTTGACAGATTTTTGACGTTTGTCAAAGTTAAAGTAAGATGGTGCAACCCAGCCTAAGTCTTAGATGGGGATTCCGTGGAGGGTAGTTGAACGGGAAGCATGGTCGATCTGTTTTAATGGTTTCAATTTATTATTTAATGGACTTTAGTGTACAAATTTGGTGTTATTTTGTGTTCTAAAGTGCAGTGAAGTGATAAATTATAAAAAACATTGAAATACTTCGAATTTGAGCGCGCATCGAGTGTCGAGTGGGTTGTCGTACGAACAACCCGCTTTGGACCCGGTAGCGTCTTGAAACCTGCTTTCGGGCATACTTAACTCCACGGAATCCATGAAACATCAATAGAACTGAAACACCCACGTTCTATTGATAACTATGTCAATTTTCACTCGACATTGGCAGAAATAAACCTCCCAGAGAGGTTTGGTTGCCATTAAACAAAAAAAAAAAAAAAGTCTTAGATTTTTCAACTCTTTTAGAAACCCTAAAATATGACATGTTGTAACACATAGTCACAATACATAGCAGCCAGTGGCTATGAATGGCCTATCTATGTAACATGACTGCTCTATGTACTTTTGCTTGAACTACCTTTTTGCTTGCTATTTACTTTTAAAGTAATTAACATTTTGAATCTTTTGAAATCGATTAAAAAAAAATTAAATAAAAATATTTTGGAACGTTTGTGCAAGTGAATCTTCCTTATTGAAGCGATTTGTTTTATTGACTGTAAAACAATTGACTGCGAAACTTAACTACGTCACGTGGAATTCAGTGAGTACTGAAATCATATCTAGATCGTTGACTTGTCAGCTTGACTCGTTCAAGGCCCAAGAAATCTCGGAACGTTTCGACAAGTGGTTCCGGTCTGTTGACTTTCATTGTCATTATAAAACATCTGACCTTGTAGTCAATAAACCGTTGATAGTAATATTTAAATAGATTTCCCATTTAATTGATTGATTTGATTACTTTTTTGATTAAGTTAATGTGTTGTAAGTGTCTCATGTGCCCCGATACTTGTTTTTGTCTGAATTTTTAATTTTTGTTTTGCGATAGAAAGTGTTTGCTAAACCGAGTAAACACGAGTGTTCTAAATATTTACAATTAATAATGGTAGTGAAAATAAGAAAATGTAATATATTTTTTATAAAATTCAATTTCATTATTTGATAAAGTTGTACAAACATAAAAATAACATGTAGCTTACAAAATAAAACATGCCAAATAATTTTAATTTATGTCAACAAATTATAAATGATGTTTGGGCATGTTTTATTTTATAAACATAATTGCTTTTTATTTACACACTTATAGCACACATGTAAATAAGAACAGAACTATTATTTTTAAAGTCGGTTCAAGGAGTTTGTTGTTCAAAGTACTCAACCGACTTTAAAAATATAATATCAGTTAGTAGTCAGCTATCACAGGAGTAATAAAATTTAACGAGTCAGTCGTGACACAGTACCTGCATTAAAAAGTACTGAGGCTATAACTTTTTGCGGTAAAGCTAGTAAAAAACATAACAAAAAACAAAACATCAACGAATAACAACGAGTCAGAGAAATGCTTTTTAGTGACCTTTCTTGTGTCCCCAGTGCTTATGGTCCTCATGACCTCCCTTCTTGCCATGGTCGTGGTGGTGATGCCAGTGGTCGTGGTGACCACCCTCGTCATGGTGTCCCTTGTGGTGGTGGTGGTGACCTCCCTTATGGTGATGACCCTTCTTGCCATGGTGATGCTCATGATGACCGCCGTGCTTGTGTCCGTGGTGGTGGTGGCCTCCCTTCTTGTGACCGCCTTCGTGGTGATGACCACCGTGATGCTCATGGAAACCTTTCTCGCCGTGATGGTGGTGGAAGTGCTTGTCCTTCTTGAACTCATCATGCTTGTCGACTTCATGGTGTCCCTTCGTGTCGTGACCCTTGTGGAAGTGGCCGTGCTCCTCATGACCGTGCCCGTGGTGGCCTTTCTCGCCGTGATCATGGTGGTGGTGGTAGCCATCGTCGTGGTGATGGTGTTTCTTGTGGCCGCCGTGTTCACCGTGATGGCCCTTGTGGCCTTCATGGTGGTGGTGTCCTTTATGACCGTGGTGGTGTTCGTGGTGTCCCTTGTGTCCTTTGTGGTCATGGTGGCCGTGGTCGTGGTGGTGATGACCATGGTGCTCGTGGCCGCCTCCCTTGTCCCATTTTCCTCCGTGGTGGGACGCAGCTGGTTCGAGATCAGATTGCTGCTCCCGAAGGTCCTTAGCGGAGGCGAGAGCCACGAAGGCAATAAGCCCTAGCACCACCAAACTCCTCATGGTTGGTGTGGCTAGCTGGTTGTGAATGATACTGTTGTCGGGATCTAAGATTTTATATACCAAATAGAGATCGCTCAATCAATTGGTTGGGCAAGTCGTCGCTCGGTAGTGTCAAGGTTGCAGCGGCAATACACTTCGGAAGAGATTTCCAGTTCCCAGGTCATTTACACCACTTCCTCGACCTTCTGAAATGGTTTCTAAAATTAACTTATTAGACTTTGTTTTAATTGCGTAAATGTTTAAATTAAAAGACTTTATTACCTATTTTGTATACGACTTAAGTTCTTTAGATACGATTTCATAATAAAACGATGATTTATTCACAAAAGAGAAAGACATTTTCTCTTCTTGCGATTCCACTTTTTGAGTCCCATGTATGTATGGAACTGTCTTAGTAGTTTGATGTCCTTGTGTGGACAATTTTTTTTTTAAGAAATCGCAACGTCTTTTCTAAGTTTAAAATGTCTAAACAATATCCAAGACAAGAAAATAAATAAAAAATGACGGCACAATTTAGGCGGTCTTATCGCTACAAAGCGAATTTCTTTCGACATTTTCATAAATGATTTTTTTTTTCAAATCATTTACAAATTGCTTTTGCATTTTACAATCAAAACCAAAAACTGAAAATAATCTATATATATAAAAATGAAACCCGTTTCGCGTTGTCACGGCATCACGTGTGAACGGCTGAACCGATTTCGATAATTCTTTTTTTTAAATGTTTGTGGAAGTCCAAGGATGGTTCTTACGGAAAAAATATTAAGAAAATCTCTACGCTATGGCGGTACGAAGTTCGCCGGGTCAGCTAGTAAAGAATAAAAATATATTCCGTACGCTTCGGAGAATCGTACTTGGCAATGACAACCTATTTATTTGTGACAAAATCAGTTCAAGGATCGAAAATTAAATAACTCCATAATTTTTCAATCGTTTGAACAATAACCGATTTTCTATCACAAACAGAAATTTTGATGTAAATTTAATTCTTTACCTATTGTGGGGTTTAAAAATGTATTTTGTAATTGCTATCATTAATTTTAACGATAACAATTTCTGAGCGCTGTTTGCTTAGTCTTGGAAAATTGTATTTCTCTTAAAAATAAAAACTGGTAAATGAAAACTGGAAATTTTGTTGCCTTAGACCGTTTATACAAAGAATGCGCTTGACATTTCAATTACGGCTTATCTTTTAAGTTGCTTTTATCGGAGCCTTCGAACCGATCGCGATGCGGATGTGGAACTTCAAAGATTATTTTCAACTGAAAAATTCTGAAGAAAAGGTGCTTTAATTAAGTTCTTTGTATCTTTTCTAACAATGCTTTGTACGGGATACCCGCATTGGGCGGGGGAATTAATAACATCGGTCGTAATTTTTGTTGTAAATTAGCTTTTCCATAAGTATTTAGGAAAAGGAAAAACCTTTCTTTCTGAATATAAGAAAAGGTCAGCATAACTCGTGTCCTTATTAGCTAAGAGCTGAGTAAACAAAATACCATACATGGTTGACACAAAGGTAACATGTTACCAAATCTTAAGTAAGTACAATAGATGCGAATACGCAGTAAAAATACAGTCGTGTAGTCATAGTTTTGTCGACTGTACACACTTAGTTGATGAAAGAATAGATGAAGAAGTTAATGAACTCTTTTAGTTTAGAATTCCTAAGCCAGTCCATTTACTGAGATTTCATCTGAAGCTTTATTAAACTTTGTGGTGATATTTAAAAATACAAAGCAACACAAAACCCCCTCTAATAACAGTTACTAAAGAAATACTTAATTTGATTTACGGTCAAAAACTGAATGCTACCGTTAAAATCACACAATAATAAGACACGATTATTTTTATTAACAACACGCCTTCAAACTTCCCGCTTTTAAGCCTTTTAGCTGGGAACTTAGCTTTGTAAATAAATTGTGCCTCCAACAGCAATTCAAGCTAAACACTGTGGCTCTTATGTACTTCCAATAGGGTTGATTTTGCAACAAAAATGTGAATTCTGATGTGCTGTCGCCTATACTTCTCGCTTATTTTTTATGCATGGGGTTCGCGATTTGCACGTCAATCCGAATTAAGGGCGACGCACAAGTTGGCGGGTTTCATTCAAAAAGTTAATTCTGAAAGTACCTACTTTGTTTCGAAATTAAGGCGTGGAGTGTGAATTTACTGCAATAAGAGTACGCAGAGATGTAGCAAATCGGAAGTAATTTAATAATAAAATATGATATTACTATCTATTTTTTCCATTGAAAATTAAACAAGCATACTTTTAAATAACCTAACCATGATAATAATGTAACAATAATCAAAGAAATAAACGAAAATAACCGCCTGTGTAAGTAGGTATTTTATTTTCCCAGATTTAATCGAACAAGTTAATCAATGTTCTCGAGCGTAATTGCGAATGCGGATTGTGGGCCTCAACAAATAACACGACAAAGTATTTCATCCACAATATCATACTTTCCTGTTTACAAAAGGACTCGTGCGGGCGACATAATATGATCAAACGGTAACCTGGGTACTCCTGCTCGATTATTTGTCTTGTTAGTGCAAATCGATTGGAAAAACGACAACAACACTATGTTCAACAACATAAACAACCACGATTTATATGTTGTTTGTTATAGTGATTTATCGCCAAGATATTGTGGTCCTTAGTCGATGCTAGTACGAGAAATCGAATTTGAAAGAAAATTGAATACGACCTGGAAACGGGACGGAGCGTCTTGTTGTAAATAGAAGTCGGCTATATTTTATGTTACGAGGAAAGTCGGTGGTTAAATTTAAAGAGTATTTCGGGTCGCATTTTAAGGTTTATTTTCAGACTAGGGATAACCTAAATAAGAGTTGAAAGTTGAAGCCCGTGTTCTCAAATTGAGAATTTTAATCTTGAAATTAGCCCAAAAGTGGTGTGTGGTGGTGATTTATATACTTGGCAATTTTGTTCTTCTACTTTATAATTATTTACGTTTAACAAAAATGTAAAATCAAGTTGATTAGAGTTAAAATTGCGTTATTCTGGTTTCTACCTTAAAATTTTGGAATATTAAAGGTTGATACACCTTAGGTATCAGTTGCCATATCTAACAAGGTACGTTAGCTAAGTTAGTATTGTGTAAACAACATTGGTAATTATCAAGATAAATTGAAAATATCAAGTCTGTGTGGTTTTGATAAGGCATTGATTCAAAAAGATTGGTCTCTACAACTATCGAACACATAGAGGAAGCCACCATCAGCTGTAAGTCCTACCTGGTTTATCTAAGCATCTATGGCAATGCATGCTTTTTACTTATTTATTTACACATTGAAAATGATCATATAAGTACATATTGAGGATGTACAATGGCCCGTTTATTTATCTACAAGCTTAGTATTTACCTTAACCTGCTCTAAACAGCGCTCCGAACCGAATATTTTCCCAACACTATCTATACTTATAATAAATCTGTAGAGTGGTCAATTCTGTACATAAAATATATTTTCAAAATAACTATCAGGGGGTGATTAGTGATCGATACTGATGCCAAAAATGCAACCAGTAAAATTTTTGTCTCTGTCTGTCTGTCTGTATGTATGTTCCTTATAGAAATAAAAACTACTCGACCGATTTTAACGAAACTTAGTACAATTATTCTTCATACTCCTGGGCAGGTTATAGTATACTTACGAATTTCCACGGGCACGGGAATCAGCGGGAAAATCCTTTTGTATGAAGAATCTAAACCGCTTAATTTAGACGCTTGAAATTTGGCATGCAGGTACCTTAGTAAACTTAAAGCTTAGTTACAACAGGATATTGCAAAATTCCCACGGGAACGGGAGTTAGCGGGAAAAAACATTTGTATGAAAAAATCTAAACCGCGTAAGATAGATGAAGGGGGTAAAACGGGATCCACGCGTACGAAGTCGCGGGCGGCCGCTAGTACAAAATAAAGATCATTCTACAATGCCACAGTACGTAAGTAATTGAATACCTACCAATACCGTGTACCGCACAAACATTTGCTACAAACAATTAAAAATCAAAGCCAAAAATAAGTGAATGGTGTCGAAATGTATTTACACTTCTGTCACCGCAAGCGAACACTCGTTATTTATTGGAAACATTCACGACGACACAATCCGAGTACATTTATCCTGACGGGTGGTGTACACTGCCTCATTTCTGTTTGGTCCAAAAAATTCGACTTAAATTAACAAAAATAGTCAATGAAATAAACTAAGTACATTTACGTATACTTATTTCATTGACTATTTTTGTTATACGTAACTACAAATGTACTTATTTCATCTCTCTCCTTCCTTCCTTCTTCATCTTTCTTCCTTGGATTCGAAAGACCTGGACTTGATTTACAGTTAGAAAACACATAGGTACTATAAAAGAAATATGTCTATACAGATTTTTGTTGACAGTAGTGTAAAAAAATCGTAAACACATATTGTGGTCATTGGTATACGAGTTTATGCTCTTCATTACACCCGACTATAATAACTAAGCACAATCCTCTTAGTATCCAGTCTATCAATGTAGGTAGGTTAATAGTCTTTAGTTTACACTCAAAATCAATTTTATTAAGGAACCCTTACTTGGTGTTCAGGGCCGGATCGTGAATTTGTGGGGCCCTGAGCTGAAACTTCTTATGACGTTGTCACCTAAAAATATCGTCCGTAAACCGATTTTACAGACAACTTTTTTTATTTTTATTATGGCCTACTTTTTAGCGGGATCTGGGGGCCCCTTGTAACCCCGGGGCCCTGGGCTGCAGCCCAATCAGCCCATAGGTAGATCCGGCCCTGTTGGTGTTGGTTGGTGACTCTACCAAAGCATCAGTTTCTATATGCCACAGCAATTTTAATACGCTAATACGTACTTACAGCTCCATTTCTTCGATACTAACGCCCGTATTCACAAACGATGCTTGCTTAAGTGAAGCAGCAAATCGAACGCACAGCGTTGAATAGAACTCTGTGATTGGTTTGTGTGTCACCCT